TCCCTGTTATGCCCAATGTCCGAATCCCCGAGCGGGAAGAGAGAAGGCCTCCAAGACAATGCAACTCGCAAAAAAGGGAAGTTTATTGCTGACTTGAGTCAGGGCTCCTGCCGCATCCAACGCAGTGGTGCAGGGTCAGAGAGCCCCAAGCCCAAGCTGTTACACAAATTTATGGGGTGAGCACACACCGTTGATAGTTGGTTTAAGTGGATTGGTTACAAGTTTGCAAAGCAATTTCATTGGTCAAACACACTCAAAACTTTCGCATGCGCTGGACTTTCCCAGGGGTTTCCGCCCCGTTCCTAATTGGCAAACAGTGGTCAGTGTTAAGCTGATTGGTTGTATCCAGGTGGCCTGATAATCTTACCACCCAGAAGTAGGAAGGCTTACTCCTAATCTAAGCTGCCTGCCATAGCGTTACTTCTGCTCGCTTTATATCCCTTGTCTGGGAAGATCCCACATGCTGTAGGGGCAACTAAGCCCATGTGACACAACTACTGAACCCACAGTTTAGAGCCTATGAGCTGCAGCTAGAGGAAGCCAGTTCATGGCAACGAAAAGCCAGCACAGCCAAATAAATAAATAAATAAATAAATAAATAAATAAATAAATAAATATATTTTTTTTTAAAAAAGACCATGCCAGTGAAATAGCTATTTTTCTATATAACTCCTGTATTCTGGAGAAAAAAAAGTAATTCTTTGCATTGTATCTCAATGTAAATTTAAAAAAGAAAAAAAATCATGTTAAGGTTAAACACTCATTATTAGCAATTTCTGGAACAAAACAGCATCAGTTATTGTTTTAATTTGTTACTGAATAAGACTAGACCTTTTCCTAAGCTATGAGAAAAGCAAGATGTAAAGTTACACATTTTTATGTGAAAGTAAGCAGAAACAATGTCATAATCATGAAGAAAAGTGCCAGAGTCAAGATTTGTCCGCAGGCTGGGGAGTTCAACTAAAGAATGTATTATTCAACTAAATATCCACTGAGTGTCAAGTTCCATACCTGTGCTGAGTTTATCATCAAAATATTTCCAGTATCTCTTGCTCAGGGACAGACTCTAGTTTGGACTTGGTTATGTTTAGTGTCCACCCCATCACACCTAAATTTTAGTATGGCCCTCTCTAGACAGAATACCAATGCACTGGATTAGTATTTCTAAAATACATCTCCAGTTGGCTTAAGTCTTCTATGAAAAAGTCTTCTGTAAGTTAAAAATATTTAGGAAAAGCAGTGTTAGCCACATTGTACTATGGGTTTCAGATTCTTTGATATAGTGATATATTAATACTATGATTTAAAAATACACAAATTTCCCAAGTTTATTGAAAATGGACACCCATGCTCCTTTTTCATAGAATAACTTTCAAAACTAGAATTTGGTTTAAAACACTTGGGGAAATGCCCACAGAACCAGCTTTCTCATTGTTCTTTCTTCAGAATTATCTTCTCTGTGAGCTTCCTTAGGGACCCTCTCTGCTGCATAGGGTGGCAGTCTATTATGTAATGTATTAACCAGAGTACAATGTTAATACTTGAGAGTGAGGTTCTATGTTTTATACATCCCAGGATTATTTGGGACTCCTGGAGATTCAATGTTCAATTTCAAGTAATGGATCAAGCTATGATAGTACAGATCATGTTGCAATGGGTTATGATACACATCTATGTGCTCATATGTGTGTGCTAAGTCACTTCAGTCGTGTCCAACTCTTTGTGACTCTATGGACCATAGCCTATCAGATTCCTCTGTCCATGAGTTCTGCAGGGAAGAATACTGGAGTGGGTTACCATGCCCTCCTCCAGAGTATCTTCCCTACCCAGGGATGGAACCCACATCTTCTGCATTGCATGCAGATTCTTTACCACTAGTGCCACTTGGGAAGCTCTCTATATGTTCTTAGACACAGATAAATATCACTCACCAGAACATGAGTCTTGCTTATTCTTTTCTTCCTCCCATTTCTAAGACAGTATCTTATACATAGTAACATAGTAATAACTATTTTTATTGAAAGAAAGAATAACTTTATGAGTGAATGGCTTTAATGAAGAGATTTCTGATATTATGTCAGAAAGGTGGATGTATTTCTTTGGATCAGTAGAGGTTTTGGTGGCAATTTGAAAATAAGAGTATGAAGACCACTTTCACAGCACCCATCGATAGTACCTGTCAAACTCTGCTTAGAAACCCCATGAATGTGAACAGGCTACTCATTCAATTCATATTATGTACTTTTTATTCTCTCTCTCTGTCCCTCTCCAATTTACCCTTTAATTATCCTGACCTTTAACATAAAAATGGATCCATGAACTACGTAATTTCCTTAATTTCATTTCCTTACTTGCATTATTGTCTGACATGTTTTGGTCTACATGGCAAAAGAGGAGCGTGATTAGAGATTACACTAATAATTTATATATTATCTGAGTATTTTGTAGACATAGTATTTATTACCAGCTTCCACCATATTTCCAAGAAATTGATGAAAATAATGATAGAAGCACTGAGTCACTGAAATTCACTGACTGGCTGATCCTCCAAGCTAGTATGTGGTGGAACCTCTAGTGACATCCGTGGCATAGTTTCTTGTACTCCCTTTTAAAAGGTGCTTCTTTATAGTAAGTCACCTAATTAATAAGTAAGGAACATATAGTAGAAGATCTCTGCGTAATAAACAATGTTCTATTCCTTATGCATTTGATGAGATTCCTCAAAAAAAAAACCAAAAAAAAAAAAAAAAAGACACACAGCAAGATAATGGCCCCTCATGCAAAAAGTCCCCTGGTCTAGATCTAGCATGAGAAATATTTTATCTATATTTTTAAGCTGAGACTTTCTGTTAGAAAAGATACTCCTGAGGTTTGCACAAAGTATGTGTAGTTCCTGCGAAAAATGCATAAACTTGTTTATACAAAGTCTTTCACTTTTTGCATGTCTCCAGCATTGCAATCATCAGAAAATTTAGTAGAAAAATAGTTGTAATAAATATGAGACAGCACTCTCACAAATATAAAATAAAGATACAGATATTCCAAAGAAATGGGCAAAAATTACAAAAGGCAATTTATAAAATATTTTCAATTTTACTAGTGGTCAAAGCATGGCTAAAATGATTGATGATACCCAGTATTGGTTAATTTAGAAAAGCATGTATTTTCATACCTGATTGGTGGGAGGGTAAATTAAGTCTTATTTTGAACTTACTATAAGCCACAGTTTTGTATGTTACACACAAATATCCATATAGTGACTTTCATGTAACAAATTTGATTTTGTAGATCAGTGGAAAAGAGATGACCATTGAGAATTATCTTATGTGGCTTTATCTGTTGGTAAGCTTCATTTTCACATCTTTAGTCTTTGCATATCTTTTTGAGAAAGCAGTATGTATGATAGTAAGAGATTGTCTTGTGAAAACTTTCCAGAGGAAACTAATGCAAAGAGATACAGAGAAAAGTACAAAAAGTTCAAAGACATGTCTATTCTTACTGCTCTGTGGTCTAGGGTTTAAAAAGAGACACTAACCTAGAGTCTATCAGTAGAGAGTAGAGAATATCTGACAGTTTAGGGTATTGGTTAAAAGCTTAAGTTGTGGAATATGGCACATCTGAGTTTGAATCTTCACTCTGTTAACCCTAAACTTTGGAATTGTGAGTGGATTATGTAACATCTCCGATCCTTAATTTTCTCATCCATAAAATTTAGATGATAATTTTACTTAATTTTTAACATTGCTATTATTAAACAGATTAATGTCCTTGAGTGCTTAGCACAAAGCTTATATACACATTGCAAATCTACAGCCATTGAATGATATCAGAAAGACTGTGAACTGAAATGTGTGTAGGTTTATGTATCTGAGGAATGTATGGAAGAAGGCCCATCAATAGTGATTAAAGAGTTATCTTGGGAAGTGGGATTTTGGTGAATTTTCCTTAATTATTTTTTGTAGTGTCTGAATTTTTAAAAATAATGGTATTGTCTTCATCAGAAATATATAACAAAACTATTTAAAATAGGGAAAAAACTAATTATAATATGTGAAAAATTGCACTGAAAGTATGTTTCAAACAATAATAGTTGTTGTCATCTTTATTTTATTTTAAAAATTATTGACTGGAGTATAGGTTATTTACAACACTATGTTAGTTTCAGTTGTATAGCAAATGAATCAATTATATATACAAAACACTTTTTTTTTTTCAGATTCTCTCCCCGTATAGAATATTACAGAGGATTGAGTAGAGTCTCCTGTACTATACAATAGGTCTTTATTACCTATCTTAAATACAATAGTGTGTGTATGTCAATGCCAGTCTCCCTATTTATACCAATTCTTTGCGACCCCATGAATTATACGGTCCATGGAATTCTCCAGGCCAGAGTACTTGAGTGGGTAGCCATTTCCTTCTCAAGGGGATCTTCCCAACCCAGGGATCAAACCCAGGTCTGCCACATTACAGGTGAATTCTTTACCAGCTGAGCCACCAAGGAAGCCCAAGAATATTGGAGTTGGCTTATTCCTTCTCCAGGGGATCTTTCCAAGCCAGGAATCAAACTGGGGTCTCCTGCATTGCAGGGGGATTCTTTGCCAGCTGAGCTACCAGGGAAGGCCAACCTTCCCCAATTCACCCATCAAAACCATTAATTTGTTTTCTACATCCATTACTCTACTTCTGTTTTGTAAATAAGTTCATTTGTACTTTAAAAAAAATTCTGCACATCACAAATAGCATATGATATTTGTCTTTCTAGGTATGACCTACTTTACTCAGTATGAACATCTGTAGGTCCATTCATGTTGCAACAAGTGGATAGCATTCATTCTCCTAAGGTTCCATTTTTTTTAAAGGACAAAAATGAAAGAGAGAAAACAAAGAACAAAATAATATCTTTAATTCTTGTCCTTTTTTTTTAGTGCCAGGCATTATCCTAGACTCTGAGGAAATAAAAAAGATAATTCCAGGAAAAGGGTGCATAATTTAAAAAAAAAGATAAATTCTTGTCTTATTAGAAGGTGCTAGGTCCTATTAATAAAAGTAGAGCAGCAATGAGAAATCAAGTGAGACCAGAATTGGTATATGTGTACAGTTTTAAACTGGGTGGTCAGGGAAAGCCATAATCAGAAAGAAATATTTGAGCAAAAAATTGAAGGGGTTGAGGGACTGAGCCTTGCTTATTTCTAAGGGAAGAAAATACCAGGTGAAGTAACTAGCAAGTGAAAAGACTTAAAGGCAGGAGCATCCTGACATGTCTGAAAAACAACAGGGAGATCATTGTGACTGCAGTGAAGAAACAAGGTGGGGAGAGGAGCAGAATATGATGTCAGAGAGTCAACAGGAGATGGGAGGATAGATTCTGGAGGGATTTGTAAATGCTTGTAAGTGTGTTATGTATTTAGAGTCTTTAGAGTTGTTATATCCTCACAATGAACTGACCCTTTTATCATTATATAAAAACATTCTGTCACTTTGTTATGGTTTTTGGCCTAAAGTCTATTTTGTCTGATATAAGTACAGCTACTCCTGTTGCCTTTTGGTTTCCACTTTCATGGGAATATCTTTTCTTCCATTCCCTTACTCCAACTGATGTGTGCCCTTAAAGATGAAGTGAGTCTACTGTAGGCAGCATGTACTTGGACCTTTTTAAAAAAAAAAAATCCATTTAGTCACTCCACGCCTTTTGATTGGAGAATTTAATCCATCTACATTTAAAGTAATTATTGATACAATAAGGACTTACCATGTGCCTGGATCACATAGTTGCTCAGTTGTGTCTGACTCTTCGTAACCCTTTGGACTATAGCCTGCCAGGCTCCTCTGTCCACGGGATTTTTCAGGCAAGAATACTGGAATGGGTAGCTATTTCCTCCTCTAGGGGATCTTCCCTACCGAAGGATCGAATCCTCGTCTCCTGCATCTCCTGCATTGCAGGCGTATTCTTTACTGTTGAGCCACAAGGGAAGCTGTGTTCAACAATACACAGGGGGTAAAAAGACTTTGGAGTTCACTCATGAAAATACATTCCACTGAAGGAATTTTGAGCAGAAAATTAGCATATTGCTCACATTTTGAAATGATCACATTTGTTAGATTGTAAATTTGCCAAAAGAAAGTAAGGGTGGAATAAAGAAATCTATTTTGGAGGCTATTCCATGGATCCACCAATCGAGGTGAAAAATGATAGTTGCTTAGACTTGGATCCCTTGGGGTAATGAGAAAGGTTTAAATTCTATTTTGAAGACAGAGAGACAACAGTATTTTCTGACAGATTTGTTGGGACTTGTAGGAGAAAGAGGAGTCAAAGATGAGAGAAATTTTTGCTATAATCTCTCAACTGGTTGTCAATCAATGTCCAAACATTAACAGATATATACTCATTTTGTACTAGGTTTCCAATTTTTATTGATTGCTTAATTATTCTCCATCAGAGACTAGTGCATGCTTTGAAAAACTTGAAATGAATAATTCATTCTCAGAGTTTAAGAAGCTCTATTTCAATATGCTAAGTAAGAATTCAGTCATGGGTCAAATTTTCTATGAGAGGAAGATATAGGCACAATATTCTGGCACAATGTTTAGGCACAATGTTTTTAGATGTTCATCCTTTACTTAATGTAAAATCATTTTAATTCTGGTCTTTTGAAAAGAACTCATTTATTCACAGACCGTTTGGTGAATGACCACTATATAGCAGACATTCCACTAGTAGACAGACCTGAGGCAAACTGCCTACATTCAAGGAGCTTGCCATCTGGTAGGAGATAGAAAAATGAAACTGAGTAGAGAATAAAATGAAATTAGTGGCTAGGAAGTTCCAAGAGAGCATAGGAGGAGGCATAGATAAATGTGTATAGATAATTCAGGAAAACTTGTAGGAAGAGGAGGAATTTAACATAACTATATAGGAATATGAAATGGTTATTCCAAATGAAGGAAACAAAAGTGGGGATTAGAAAAGAGGATGGCCCATTTGGTTGGTTAAACAGACATTTGTTAAGTCTAGAGGTTCAGGAGCAAAAGGATGAGTGGTGAAATATGAGTCTTAAAGGAAAAGCAGTGTTAAATCTTGAACATTTTTATATAAGACAATATGAGATTTGAAATGAATCCTGTAAGCAATAGGAATTAGCAAAGAAGTTCTCAGCAGGAAGACAACTCGATTAGATTAAGGCTTTAGAATGATTATTCAGGTAATACTGAGGAAAACAGATTGGAAAGGGAGGGGACCCAAACCTGGGGAATCAGTTGGTCTACTGCAGGGGTCCTAACAAGGAAGGGGGAGGTCCTGCCTTGGACAGTGCAGAGAGAGAGAACATGGATACAACAGCTACATAGAAGGTATAGCTTGGTTGAGAAAAACATATGGGTGGCTAGGAATGAGTCTAAGATGATCTCAGCAATCTGTATTTGGGAACTGACTAGAAGATAAAGCCTTATTCAGTGTCACAGAGTAATAGGAAGAGAAACATTTTGAGTAGCAAAATGTGTTCAGAATTTAAGGACTGATGGTAGCCAGGTGGCAATAACTAAAAAGTTATTTGAAGCTCTGAATAGTTTGACTGGAAAATTAAATGCCATTGATGAATAATGCCTTAAAATGTAACCTATAATTTTATAAAAATACAGGAATTTGTTTTCATATCACTAATAGCAATGGCAAAAGCTTTTAGCTATACATATATTTCATGAGAATGTTATTTTCATATCCCTGAATAGTAATGACAAGACCTTTTAGCTTCACTCATAATTAACACATGTGTTTTATAGATACCTATTAAACAAAACAAGACAAAACCCCAAAACAACAAATCAAGTGCCAGAAAGATTATATTGTAACTGATACAGTCAAATGCTGCTAGAAGCATTGGAAATTGAAATGACATTTTGGGAAGACTATGTCAATATGTTGCAAGAGTTATAAAGATGATCATAGGATTTTGCCTGGTAATTTTACTCCTGGTTACTAAAAGGAATTTATTCAGTGTATATTAAAGAAAATTTACCTTACAGATATAGTCTACATGACAATAAGTTATAAGGGAATAATTTAATGTGTCTCTGTGTGTGTTTGTTGCTATTAAGTCTCTAAGTCTTGTTCAACTTTTTTGTGACTCCATGGACTATAGCCAGCCAGACTCCGCTGTCCATGGGATTTCCTAGGCAAGAATGCTGAAGTGGATTGCCATTCCTTTCTTCGGGGAATCTTCCTGACCCAGGGATCTAACCTGTGTCTCCTGCTTGGCAGGCAGGTTCTTTACCACTTAACCACCAGGGAAGTCCCTTTGTATGCATTTACACAATAGAAATATGAAGACTATGAAGAAACATGGGAGGATATTTACATTGCCGTAAAAATATTAGGATTTGTAATTTTCAGTTATCCAAACATATATATTCCAATAGAGACTCACTGAAAAACATTAAAAATAAAAACAATCTGAATGGTAATATTATAATTTTGTTTTTCTTTTTTTGAAAATAAAGTTTGTCAGGACAAATTTTCAAAATCGTTTTTAAAAACTATATGTAGTAAACTACAATAAAGCAAACCTGTGAATATAGACAGGCTACAAACACCCTTATTTAATTGTTTCTTGGCATGTGGAAAGAGTGGAGTAATAAAGGGGATCAGTTGAATGGGAGCAAAGGAGAGAAAAGAGAAGAAAAGAAGGCAGAGGAATGAGAAGCTCGGGAAAGCAGCAGTCTCACTTTGGCTCCCTAAGGAGTTACCAAGGATGGTGGTGGTGATTTAGTCGCTAAGTCGTGTCCAACTCTTGCAACCCCATGGACTGTATATAGCCTGCCAGGCTCCTCTGTCCGTGGGATTCTCCAGGCAAGAATACTGGAGCGGGCTGCCCTTTCCTTTTCCCCAAGAATGGTACCCCCGGGCATATTATCCAGTGGTGGAAGCCTCATGTCACAGCACATGCTGCCTGACCTAGTGGGGGAACGGGACCACAGTGACCATCCCACCCCTTTCCTTTACACCATGTCCCGCCTGGGCCATCACACCGACATGGCCTTGGGACATGCGTGCATGGGAGGTTTGCATTTAGATTGGCGGCAGGAGACGAGACAACTACGTTTCTTTTGTACACACATAAGGTTTCACTGACACTTTAACCACAGGAGGAGGAGAAAAGGCCACAAGATGTGGGGTTAGTGTGAGTGGAGACAAAGGAACTTTTTTTTCAAACTAAGAAAGCACCAGTACTGCAAAGACTTTCCGTGATTCCACACCCACCTTGAAAGTCCCCCTCTCAGCACAGGAAGTGCGCTGACCACTGGGGGGATAAAAGAGACTCAGAGGAGCCAAGGTCCTCAGCCTCTTGCTTCACAGCTCAGGGGACCTCAGCCATGAGACTTCTCATCCTGACCTGCCTGGTGATCTGCAGTCTCGCTGCATACACTGTGGAAGGTGAGTCAAGTTATTTACGAGATAAGGAATATCTAGGTGTACAGGCAGTGGCCGGGCATTTTGGTATTGACTCAGGTTTAGAATGGAGTCAACTACTTTCTCCAAGCTAAGCCTCAGTCTTTCTGTGCGCAAAATGGGTATAATTTGACTCTAGGGGACTTTGTAGATTTTGAAGATAGAAATTGATGAGTCTAGGCTCCTATTTTTCACAACTAGGTGATTTGGGGTAAATTTCTTAACCTCTCCGGGCCTAGGTTTAATTATCTTTAAGATAAATGTAATAACTAATTTGCTTACCTACAATTAAAATGAAATAAAACTTATGATCATTTATCAGATTTCCAGGCAAATACTAATTTGTTTATTAATGTTAGGAGTAGCATAATGAAAACAATTGTATATATCTTTGAAGTGTTTGCCTATTTAGTATTGATAAATTTAAAAATATTTACCCCTTTGCTGTTAACCTGAAATTATCATAACATTGTTAATTGGCTATACCCCAATACAAAATAAAAAGTTCAAAAAATAGAAATAGATATACCAGGGATTAAATAATGTGTTTGTTCAGTAAAGATAACTGCCCCATATCTCAAAAAATTGCTTAAAAATGTAAAGTATTCATGATGGGAGAGTGAGCTAGAGGATGTATGTTCTGAAGCAAATCAACGTTTTGTATTAAAACAGAATTGACTGGAAGCTCATGACCTCATATCTAGGATATCAATTTTTACCTTTAAGTGTGTAGGAGAGAATATTATTATTGCTATGAATGTTATTCCCACTTGTGATAAATTTCTTGAGTTTATAAAAGACCATAAGTACTAACAAATATCAATGACTTATATACAATAAATTAAACTTACAAGACATATCCAGATGAGATTTAGTTACACTGAGCCTTTCCTGAACATTCTTCACATATTTCTTAAAAGATCATTTTTTTTTCCCAACTGGTCGGAGCGTATTTTTCCTTATGCCTCTGACAAGACAGAATATCCTTTGGTTATAATTAATAACTCAGTTAACTCGCCTTTCAACCTCTTAATCTACAGCCTTTTTACTTAGACTAGAATAGACCATGTATCTGCAAGGGTGCCAATAAATAGAGATGGCACTCTCCAGAACCCCCTGAAATTGGGCCCTGAATAAAAAAATATTGTTGAAATGAAAAAGTTTATACCAAGTGTTGTCTAAACCTGGCTAGCTGGCATTTTTCTGGGAAAATAGGCTGCCATATGATGAAAACCATGTATGAATAGGGGAATGAAGACTGATGAGGATTGTAGACATTTAAGTATTTCCCTTTCGCTGGGCTCAGAAAAACATTTAGCATTAAAAATAAATTGGCAAATATAGAGGGTAAAGAATGTGCAGGCTGGATATTGAGTGATAGAAAGAGGAGATGAAGAGCAATGTTAGTGAACACCTGCTCAGTGTTATGATTATAAAAACCTTCTGATTTCAGCAACACTACGTCAGAAAGCTCAGATTTGATCATTATCGACTATTATTTTAGGTGCTTTTTGGCTTAATATTTCTCAGAGAAATATTCTGTAAGAATGTTTGCTTCCCTGAGAAGCAAATACCAGTCTCTTCATCTTAGGAGAAAATAGGCACACAGAAACCTTCATTAGATTTTAGCAAATCTGTGACATTATTAACCCTCCCATGTTATTTTCCTTTCTCTGATGTAAGATGTTCTCAAAACTGAAAAATTTAATCTCCTTTTAGTCCTTCTATTGAGCATAAGAACTTTATGAACTACTTCCTTTGTATATTTCACATTTTACTATTTAAAACAACACCTTTATGGATTCAGTAAAAAATGAGCTACCTCTCCCATGTTTAATATTGACTGCCCCAAACTACTCTTTATCAGGTCACTCTTTGTTTTGATTGATGACACTCTAACATTTATATTATTAGAAATTATATTTTAGTTTTGTTTGCTTGATTTTCTGTACAGGTGTGGGGAGTGAAGTTCTAGAAAAGAGCATCTGTGTGAGTCTGACTACGCAGCGACTGCCAATTAAAAACATCAAGACCTACACCATCAAGGAGGGCTCCATGAAAGCAGTGATGTGAGTTTCTCTGCCCAAAGCTGGGCTTCATGGAACACAGTGTACAGAAAGGCTGGCCTCCTTGGGAAAAATAAGTTAACAAGGAGGAAGACCTCAACTTAGCCAATAGGTCTTTTACTTTTCCATATTAACCATGTCTTGTGTAGCCCCAAACAATGATGATGACAAAAAATTGTCAACCAAGTGAAGACTGTCACCCTCCTTTCCGACTTATCTTAACAGAAGAATCAGACCAGGAACTAGATGAATAATGTGCTCGGTCTGGAAGGTTAGGTTTAGAGATGGCTGGATCAGATCAGGATTTGAGCACAGAGCCACACTGGTGTGGGATGCCTCCCTTCCCATCCCACTCACATCCCTGCCTTTCTCTTCCTTTTTGGTATCTTGGAGTAAAATGCCATATTTTATCAGTTGCCACATCTCAAGGAATAATGTTAACAACTAGCCTACATGGTACCATTCTCTTTCCAGGATTTCATTTTCAAAATAGCAACACTTCCCAAAATATAATTACAACTTTACCACCAAAAATATGGTAAAGAAACCACTTTTTGTCCAGAAAATAAGATGAATGTGTTTAGATTTCAAAAAGAAAATGACATGTAATAAATAATCTAGATGGCTTCAAATGTCTAGTTTAATTACATCATTTGTTAGCAATGATGAGGAAAGGAACCTACACAAAATTCTGAACAAGGAATCTGGGTATTATCTGGAGCTATTTTTTCTTCATGAAAAAAAATAGATTGCAGAAGAAAGATTTTCATTTAAGATCTAATGTATCTAGAATACTGATTTGCCCAGTCATTTCTGCACAAAATCTCTTTTATACAATCTGATCTTAACTTTTGGTCCCAAGGCTTTGGAGATGTGACTAATTTTGCCTATCTTTTCCTTGCATTACAGATTCATTACCAGACGTGGCCTTAAAGTCTGTGCTGATCCCCACGTTGACTGGGTGAAAAAAGCTGTCCGAACAATAGACAAGTCCAACAGGAGAAGTGTGAGCCAGACCAAGCCTACAGAAGCCCAACAATCCCCCAAAACAGCTGTGACCCTGACTGGGTAGTGACCTTCCAGCACCTTGTCCTCTCCCTAGCCAGCCACCTCATTTCCCTTTAAAGCTCATGGACTTATTACATTATATTCACCTTTTATAAAAGTGTTGCATGAATCTACTTTCTTAGATTTTTATTTTTTTATGTCTTTCATATTCATATAGATGCTCTAAATAATAAATATTTATTATTAAGAATAGTCCCAAAGTGTATTCATTACATATTGGAAAAGGTAATACATCATTTGTGTCCCTTTTCTGTTTTAATTGTACTCCTGTTGGCAGCATCCATGATGGGAGAGATTATGGTCAGTGTTTATCAGAGATGAAAGCTATATTCATCATTTTTAGGCTGTAGCATGAAATGATTCTCTACACATGAGTCATAGGTGGCAACTGTAATAATGACAATTTTAGCTCTATTTCAACCTGTCTTCATAATGTTCTATTTTTATGGATTAAATGAAAAAATGATCTAACTGCTACTGGTTCCCCATTATGAGGGTTCACTACTCAAAAAGAAGCTTCATCAAGTTTGATCTTGAGCACATTCTCAGACCTCTGTGTTTCATTTGATCTGTAAAGGAAAGAAAGAAAAGGAAAAGACACAGCTTGTCAATTCTTTCATTTGTCACAGTAGCAAAGATTATACTTTTAATGAAAAGATACTTTATTCAAACAAAAATCAATTCTTCCCAAATTGGGCAATGAGCTTACTGCCTTTCTGTGATTTTCACAATTGTCACTACTCTAGTTTTCAACACACCATGCTTTTTTCCTTTTGGCCAGTAAGTTTTTAGTATCCCAACACTGTCACTTGGAACATTTGTTGAATATGATCACAATTTCCATTAAAGTTTTTAAAGTTTTAATGAACATTACTTCATCTACTCACTGAACATCTCATATTCATGCCCTCCTGTATTCTCACTAAATTGTTCATTTGATTCATGTTTATGATTCCATTATTCAAGTAGCTGATAGTGTATACATCCACTTCTATCTGACTTTAAATAGTTAAGAAACTGATCAATCCTTGATAGTTTCAAAGAAAGGGAAGGAATTAACTGTTTTCTAGTCCTAAGGGGACAATCAGCAATCCCAATATTTTCAGAAGGTAACTGAGGGCATTTTGTAGGAATCAAATCACGTCTAGTCATAGTTATCCAACTATTCACCAGAGAGGAAATGATTAAAACACTGCCTCTTAGCCAAGAGTGGGTTATCTGTCATTTCTCACTGCTATTTGCTTACAATAATGTTCAAAACTGGTCTTGAAGGAAAGACAAAGAAAAAAAACACCTGCTTTATGAGGGGTGAAACCTAGCCAATCACAGAAGATGAAAGAAATGTTTCCTGATTGAACGTGTGCTTGAATTTCTCAAATGTCTCTGAAGTGCTAGAAATTTTCAGTTCAGTTCAGTCGCTCAGTTGTGTCTGAGTCTTTGTGACCCCATGGATGGCAACATGCCAGGCCCTGTTCAACACCAACTTCCAGAGCCTACTCAAACTCATGTCTATCACGTTGGTGATTCCATCCAACCATCTCATCCTCTGTCGTCCCCTTCTCCTCCCGCCTTCGATCTTTCCCAACAACAGGGTCTTTTCCAATGAGTCAGTTCTTTGCATCAGGTGGCCAAAGTTTTGGAGTTTCAGCTTCAGCATCAGTCCTTCCAATGAATATTCAGGACTGATTTCCTTTAGGATGGACTGGTTGGATCTCCTTGCACTCCAAGTGACTCTCAAGAGTTTTCTCCAACATCACGGTTCAAAAGCATCAATTCTTTAGCACTCAGCTTTCTTTATAGTCCAATTCTCACATTCTTACATAACTACTGGAAAAACCATAACTTTAACTAGGCGGACCTTTGTTGATAAAGTAATGTCTCTGCTTTTTTATATGCTGTCTAGGTTGGTCATACCTTTTCTTCCGAGGAGCAAGCATCTTTTAATTTCATGGCTGCAGTCATCATCTGCAGTGATCTTGGAGCCTTGAGCCTAAAAAAATAAAGTCTGTCACTGTTTCTACTGTTTCCCCATCTCTCTGCCAAGAAGTGATGGGACCGGATGCCATGATCTTAGTTTTCTGAATGTTGAGTTTTAAGCCAACTTTTTCACTCTCTTCTTTCACTTTCATCAAAAGGCTCTTTAGTTCTTCTTCCCTTTCTGCCATAAGGGTGGTGTCACCTGCATATCTAAGATTATTGATATTTCTCCCAGCAATCTTGATTCCAGCTTGTGTTTCATCCAGCCCAGCATTTCTCTGCAAGAGGTTTTCAAGAGAAGTAATAATACAAGTGGAAGAGTATAGATATACACATCTCATGGTTGCATTATCTAAGGTCATAAGTTATGCTAGAGGTTTCAATCCAACAGTGCACATAACTTTTAACTAACTGACTGGATGTTTTGAATCACTTAGGTTGGACCTGTATCTACTGACTATGACTCTGGCTGATTGGACTTCAATTCAAAGAAATAATCTAAGAAGGAGAGTTCTCAAAATATTAAATATATTTTTTTAATGTCTGAGACTCCTCTTTTGTGCTTCTGTGTTGAATTTTACTAAAAGTTAACTTAAAATTTACAATCTATATTGAAAGCTGCTTTTGTGTATTAGTATGCCAGGTTCCCAGTGCCTAGCATAGAACTGGGATGTGCGGGCTCAGTTGCTTCAGTCATGTCCGACTCTTTGTGACCCCATGGACTGTAGCCTACCAGGCTCCTCTGTCCCTGAGATTCTCCAGGCAAGAATACTGGGGGTGGGTTGCCATGTCCCCTTAAAGGGGATCTTCCTAACCCAGGGACTGAACCCTTGTCTCCTGCACCTCTTGCATTGCA